GGGGTCATTCCCAGCGCTGCTTCTATTTTGAAGTGAATCCCTGTCCGCGGCGCGTTTCCCGCTGTGCGTTTCCTACGGCGCCGGCAGCCCCTTTCCCTCGGTTCCCATTCCGCGGGCTGGCTGCGCGGGGGTGTCGCAGGGCTTGGCCGCACGCAGGGCACAGGCTCCCGCTGCCTCCTCCGTTATTCCTGTATAGTATATGCATCTATATGCGAGATATATGTGCGGTATATGAGAGAGAGAGGGGTGCAGACCTATCTGTCTTTCATGCCAGTAACGAGCTTTCCGCCCTCTCTGGGTTTTTGCAGATGACATTGTTCCCACAGAAGGAGAAACTGGACAATCTAGAGACTCTGAAGTTGGATACCATTTTTGATTCTTGTCTAAAAATATATATATTTACCAAGGATTTCTTGGAAATTAGAAGAGCTTTATCCAAATTCAAAGTAGGGCGTGGGGAGCACTTAAGGAAAGAGAAAGAGACAAGGGCTCTGGACAGTGACTACCCGTTGGGCGTCTGTACAATCCACACATCTCTGCATTCTGATAGAAGTCTGAACCGTTCAATTTTTTTTTATTTTGACGAAGAATGTTGGAATTTAACTTTTTTTTTTTTTAAACTTGCCTTTTTGCATGCATTCCCAAGAGGTCGTGCCTATGAGCCACTGATGAAAGGAAAGGAAATACGTTATTGTGGACTTTCTTCATTCTTGAATGAAACCAACCAACCAACCAAAAAACATCCCCGTAGAGATGATTTTTTTTAAGGGGGGGAATAAGCTGGGCTCAAGCTGTTATATACAAACCTACCCAGTTCCTAACTTTTTTTTATTATTATTATTTTTTCCTCTGAGAAAAAAAATAAACATTTTATTTATTTATTGATGACCCATGTTAAAATGCAAATAGATCCGGTGTCTAAATGCATTCCTATTTTTATGATTGTTTTGTAAATATCATTGTATATTATTTTTCTGCAATAAATAAATATGTTTGAAATTTTAATAACCTCAAAGTTTGGTCTTTCTGAAAACTCAGGGTTGGAACTGGAGATAAATACCTGCTTGTTGAGCTGTAAAGACACCCAAGAGAGAGGGGGCACTAGTATAAACAAACCAGGCGAAAAACGCAAATAAACTAGCTACTGACAGACACAGGCATGTTATTTATAGAGACAGCTTTATTATTCCGCGCTGAAGCTCGCTGGATTTGCGGGCAAGGTATATCTCCTCTTTCTCTATCTCTCCCTCTTCTCATCACAACGCTGTGCTCTGCTGAGTTCCACGCAAAGCAGATGCTCAAGCTGCCGCTTGGGCTTTGCAGGCTACTCGCCCCGAAATTTGCAGCAGGAAAAGGGCCCTTTCCCTGGTCCCTGGCGCAGAGGTTTTCCTTAGGTATCTCTTAGGAAGAGGCTTTATGTATATATGTATATACACGTATATATATATGTATAGTTAAGAGTATATCCACAGGCAAAGCGAAGAGAAAGTGAGGTTGAAACAGGGAAGTGTCCAGCGAGCGGGGCTTTCCGGTGGAGGTGATGTTTGACTGTTCTTCTCTCTAGAGTTTTATATATAATATATAGAGATCAATTTTGCATTGGTCAAAGTACGAAGGGATCCGCTAACCTGCCCTCTTCTCCTTTTGGACACGTAGGATGCATGCTGCTTCTATATTACTTCTCTTGTTTTTCCCCCGTCCCTAATATGTGGCAAAAAAAAAACCCAGATGTAAAGATGTAAGGGAGAGGAAATCTACAGATCTGAGGGCTCGGAGGGAAGGTGAAAGGGGAAGCTGCTAAAACCGGGCAGCTGATCCCGCCTCCGCTGTCACTTGCTCATGTCCCAGCGTCCCGCGGCCGCTCGGGGCCCCGGGATGCGCAGCCTGGTGCCTTCCGCTGCTGCGCGGCTGCGAAGGGTGCGCGGGAGGGCAGAGCCCTGCGATGTCAGCGCTGTTCCGCTCTGCCAGGGACGCTACCGCCGGGGTACATCCAGTGTCGAGGATAAATAGGATGGGGTGTTTATCCAAAACAGAGGCTGTTTGCATAGCCCAGGTTGAGTTGACTTTCTTGCCTGAATGTTTTTGTTTCCATACCCACATATTACCATCGATTGCTGACATAACAGTACTATGAATTTAATATCGTGCATATTTTAGGTCGGTGCGCAATGTTTACAGTAGAGAGCCCGCAGCGCTTGTTTGCACCAACGGATTAGCGAGCGCTTGGAAATTGGATGGGGTCTCCGGTGGTCTCAGCCCTCCGGCCTGGCGGGGAGGGTGAAGCAGCTCTCGGCTGCCAGGGGTCCTGCTGTGCCCTCCCCGCCCCTCTCTGGGGCCCTGCATCTCTCCGAAAAAGGCAGCTGCTGTGAGACCGGTCCCCGAGGAGAAGGTAAAGTCTGACCGTGATGGGGCTACAGGAAAAGCGAATCCACGGGGAGCAGGCGCAGGGCTTGGAGGTGACGCTTAGGGGTCTGGGGAGTCGAGAGGTCGGTTGCGTTATTCCCTCTAGTGTAAGAAATTTCAGTAGGAAAAAAAAATAAAAAAAGAGAGAGAGAGAGAGAGAGAGAAAACACTCCCAGGTTTACCTAGGTTTAAAAAGAGAGGAGATCGGGAAGGGACGAGGAGATGAACTGCTCCGTGCTGAGAGGAAGGCGCGTTTTATGGATGGGGATATCTGCGAAATATAAAAGAGGGATCAAGTGCATTGTAAAAAGCACGGGCCGAACTCTGTTCGCCCTTAGAAACGGGCTGAGAAATTCGGAGTTGCTCTGCTTTGAAGCTCTTAAGCCTGATCGACGCCGTCGTAGCAAGCGAGTGGCCTTGGGCCCTGCCTGTGCCTTTTCTGCTAGCTGGAGCACAGGAAGAGAAGGAAAATCCTCAATTTCTGCCCATGGGGCTCACGTTGCCCTCGGGTCCCCCCACGTCGCCTCTGGGACTCTGCAGCCGGACCCCCTCGGGCTCCGCTGAGCACGCGGGCGCCGGGGCCTTTTCCCGATGACTACGGACCGTTACCTTTTCTTCATTAAAAAAAAAAAGAAAAAGAAATAAAATCATAAAGAGGAGATAACCCTGTGTTTAAAATCCAAACATAACCGTGCCTGGCTTGGAAGGGGGGACTGCAGAGGCCTGGTGCTCCTAAGGCTTGAGCCAAAACCGATTAAGTCACAGTCAGGCTGTTCAGTGGAACGGAAAAAAAAAAAAGTATATTAATTTGCCTTCGGGGAATTTTAAACACCCTTGCGATCAGGATTTCCTGAGCGTGCCCCTGCTCTTGGGATCCCGCGCTGCTTTCGCTCCTTTCCCCGAAGCACCAGCGCGTCCCGTTTGCCCACAGAGCGCAGACG